TATACAAACATAGAAACAGAGTTAGGGTGTTATGGTGGGGGGAGACAGAGGGAGAACAAATCATGTGGCATCTTACACAGTGACTTGTGGGTTTTTGAGACAGGGTCTCACTGTGTAGCCCAGGCTGACTTTGAACTCATGGTAATCCTCCTGCCTCAGCCTCCTGAGTGCTGGGATTACAGGTGTGTGCCCCCACACCTGGCTCTTGTGTATTTTTTTTTTTTTTTTACTTGATCATCTATTATAAACATCTTTTTTCTGGGCTAACTTTATATTTCTTTTTTTTTTTTTCAAGCATTTCTTTTAGTTGACTTGTCCATGCCTTTTTTTTTTTTTTTGGTACTTGGAATTGAACTGTGGACCTCATGCTTGCCAGGCAGGTGCTGTGCCGCTGAGCTACATCCCCAGCCCAAAATGCTTCTTTTTTCTTTTCTTGTTTTTTTTTTCCGGTACCGGGAATTGAACTCATGACCTTGCGCTTGCCAGGCAGGCGCTATGTCGCTGAGCTAAATCCCCAGGCCCAATCTTATATTTCTTATTCATTCTCTTTAACTGCCAAATAATGTTCCACAGTAACATTGTATAAATGTATCCTATTAAGGGCCTTCTCTTTTGATGGACTTTACTTTTTTTTTTTTGGTGTTAGGGATTGAAGCCCAGAGCATTTTACTACTGAGTTACATCCCCAATCCTTTTTATTTAATTAATTAATTAACTATTTAATTAATTTTTTGTTTTGATTTTTTGAAACAGGGTCTTGCTATGTAGCTTAGGCTGGCCTTGAAATTACTTTATAGTGCAGGTTGTCTGCCAGCTTGCCGTGATCTTCCTGCCTCAGCCTTCTGAGTGCTGGGAGTGTGCACCACCATGCCCAACTTAACTAATTAATTTTGAGGCAAGCTTTTATTAACTTACCCAGACTGGCTTCAAGCTTTTTCAAATGTATTTTTGGTGCTTAGAATTGAACCCAGGGCCTTCAACTTGCAAAGTACACATTATCAATCATGAATGATCCATACATTCTACCACTAGCCCAAGCCGCCAGACTGGCTTCAGAAGTGGTCCTCTTGCGTTAGCCTCCGGAGGAGGGGCTATGCCTAGCTTGATTTCAAATGTACTCTTCATCTCGGTTTTTTTTTTTTGTTTGTTTTTTTGTTTTTTCCGGTACCGGGGATCGAACTCACGACCTTGCACTTGCAAGGCAGGCGCTGTGCCGCTGAGCTAAATCCCCAGCCCCTCACATGTACTCTTAATTACAGACTAAAGACTCATACACTCGTATGTGTATCTCTTTTCAGCCTGTTTATTTTATTCCATTGATCTATGTATCCATGACTGCGCTCTGTGTGTATGTGTTACTGGGTGGGGAGCGAACCCTGAGCCTTTGCACTGAGACACCCACCCTTTCGAGGCAGGGGCTCCTGCCTCAGCCTCCCAGTGCTGAGATGACAGCTATATGCCACCATGCCTGGCTATCGTGGGCGTTTTACAGAAGGATAGATAGAAACCTGGGTGGGAGCACTGACCGCTAAGACGGCCTTAGATCTTGCTGTGACAGCACTGGCCTGGTGCCGTGGGGTTTTCAGGGACTGGCGCCTCCTGTCCTCATCCTAATCTTTGGCTCCTGGAAGGCCTTGCGGACCACGTTTCCTTGGAAGCTCCCCGAACACTCTGGGGCCTTAGAGCACAAGGGCCTGGATTGGGGCAGATGGTTCCCAGGGGTACGGCTGCCGACAGGGGACAGACTTCCCCTTCTCCAATGCTGCACGGTCAAAACTCACCTTCCTCAAGGTGAACAAAGCGGCGCAGCCCTCCCTCTGCTGCCTGACTCCCTGCTGCAGCTCTGCTTGTCTGAATTCCATTCATTCTTCAAAGCCCAACTGGAAAACCACGGCCTCTGTGAAGCCGCTTTGGGTTTCTGTTTCCCCAGCTCGTCTTCCCCACCATGCTGGGAGGGGGCCATCTTTCTTGGAATGCATTCATTTCCTTGCTGAGACTGTTATTAAGTAATTGAACCCTCTGAGTCAATTCCTTTACCTTGTAACGGAAATAATGCGGTCCTTGTAAGACTGCTGTGAGGACCGAGTTAGAAGACACCACAGAAAAAGTGAAAAGGAACAAATGTAAAACACAGTCTTAGGCACCAGGAACCCTCTTTTTTTTTTTTTTTTTTTTTCCTTTTTGAGACAGGGTCGCGCTATGCAGTTCAGGCTGGCCTTGAGCTCACTCTGTAGCCCAGGCTGGTATCGAACTCGAAACGATCGCCCTGCCTCAGCCTCCCGAGTGCTGGGATTACAAGCGTGCACCACCTCGGCCCACTAGGAATCCTATTGCACGTTAGTTGGACATTACTACACACAAGCATGCGCAGAGCCCTATAGGTTTGCACACAGATTTTATCTGTAGAAGTATGTGTTAGGGTATTTATCTTTTTGCCTTATATGATCACTGTTTGTGTGAACTGTAGGCTCTGTTGAGGCAAAAAAAAAAATAGGGCTCATTGAAAATAAATGGGATTTAGAATCAAGAGATTTGACTTGCTGGATGTAGTGGCACATGTAATCCCAGCATTCATGAGAATGAGGCAGGGCCAGGGACATAGCTCAGCAGCACAAGTACCAGCCTGGCAAGTACAAGGTCCTAAGTTCGAGTCCCGGTACCAAAAAAAAAAATGAAGGTGAGAATGAGGCAGGAAAATTGCAAGTTCAAGGCCAGCCTGGGCAATTCAGTAAGACTCTGTCTCAACTTAAAAAAAAAAAAAAATTAAAGGGTTGGGGATGTAGTTCAGTAGTAGAGTTCCCAATCTCTAGTATGACAGAGACAGAGAAAGAGAGAGAGAGAGAGAGAGAGAGAGAGAGAGAGAGAGAGAAATAGCAAGAAAGAGATTGATTTGGATCCATACTTCAACCAACACTTGTGTGTCCAAGAACCAGTTGCTTTTTCTCTCAGAATTTAGGGTTTCTTCCTCCATAAGAGCAGGGTAGGACCACAAGCAAAAAAGCCTTCTTGTCTCCTCATGCACATTATCAAGATAATGGATACTCACTGGCCAGAGTGGCACACACCTGCAATCCTAGCACTCAGGAGGCTGAGGCAGGAGAGGTGCTGTGGGTTTGAGGCCAGCCTGGGCTACATAGTGAATTCAAGGCCAGCCTATGCTATATAGTGAGACTCTCCCCCAAAACACAAAACAAAACAAAAAAGATGGGTAAGACAATAAGCCTGAAAGTATCTTCAAGGGGAGCCAATGCTTACCAGAAGACAAACTTAATACATGTTTAGGGTACAGACTACCAGTTACTCCTTTGGACTTTAGACTTGTGTGTGTGTGTGTGTGTGTGTGTGTGTGTGTGTTTGTGAGAGAGAGAGGGAGAAAGGCTCTCGATATGTAGTTCAGGCTGGTCTTGAACTCACTATGTAGCCCAGGCTGGCCCCAAACTTGCAGTAATCCTCCTGCCTCAGCCTCCTGAGGGCTGGGATGACACGCATGTGCCACCACACATGGCTTATGAAATTTCTTTTAAATTGTATCTATGACTTAAACACATTGTTCCATTTAAGACTAATTTAAGAAATATGCTATTCTGTGATTCACATAAAATTGCGTGAACAAGGGGGAGATGATTATTCACAGTGGAAGAAACTTGTTTTAGGAAAAAAAGATGGCTATGACAAAGCGTGGGTTCTCACAGTCCACCAAGAGGACAGGGACGCTCGGGGCACACCGGGGAAGGGACGGCGACTTGCAGCTGGAGGGGCTGCTCTTACCAGGTGCGGTCGCTGCAGTAAGTCTGCGTGTCCCACGCATCTGATCCTCCCCAACTACCAGTCAGATGCTTTCATTATCTGTGTTTCTCATAGGTCCACAGGTAAGGTCTAGGCACAGGGGTTCATGGGCAAAGAGCAGCAGCAGTGCCAAGATTCACACCAGCTGGTCCAGCGCCAGAGGCCCCGCTGAGCCAAGCTTTGTCACTCTGATAATAGACGGCAAATCTCTGGCTCTGCCCGAGCCCTGGGAGGGCCTTCGAACTCAGCCCGGGGTTCCCTGTGGCCAGGGGAGGCTCCCTGAAGGACTAGGGGTCAGCTAGGACAGAGGGCGGGTGGGAAGGCTGGACCACCGCAGAAGAGCGAGAGCTGTGGGGGCCACGTACTTCCCCAGGGCCCACCTCACCAAGTCCACGGAGAGATGCCCGTGTCCTAGAGGTAGCTGGGTGTTTGAAGGATTTGAAGCAGAGAGGCTTGGTCAGCTTTCTGGAAAGATCATGGAAACTGCTCACGGTGGTGCATGCCTGGGATCCCGGCATTCCGGAGGTGAAGCAGGAGGATCGCTACCAGTTTGAGGCCAGCCTGGGCTACATAGCAAGACCCTGTCTCAAAAAGCAAACAAACAAACAAAAAACTCAAACCAGCCGGGCGTGGTGGCGCAC